TATATATATATATACAAGACTTCATTCATGTCCAACTAAAAGGATTTTAAAAATAAAATCTCACTGCATTATTTGATCAGTTTATTTATTTATTTTCTTATTTAATTCAAATTTAAGATTTGTTGGGACACCATAATTTATTTTTTCCTAAAAAATGTTTTAAGTTATGTTTATTGGCTTCAAAATTTATATGATCACATAAGGTTTTTGAAACTAAATTTATTAGAGTTTCATAACATTAAATAATCAATTAAAAAAAATGTAAACTTATAATAACCTTTTTTTTTTCTACTAACAGTTGCGTAGTTACTTTTGCCGATAATTAATGGTGCATTTGGGGTAACTTATGCGCTTCCGGATAAGCTGCTTATCCTGAAATGCGGTCCGCGGGCGGGCCGTGTTTAGTGTAAAAACCCAAACACGGTTTCAAATAAGATGGTGAAACGCGCGAACCAAACGGTACGACTGTGTTTTGAAAACGCCGGCCACACTTATAAACTACCCCAAACAGACTCTAAAACTACCACAAACAAATCTTTAGTATTTATTAGCGCTGACTACATCTTCCCAAAAATAGATGTAGAATTATCACTAGCAAAAAGTTTTGTTAAAATTATGGGTGCTGGAATTATTTTCTTAAGTGAAAAAAAAGCCAGGCAACTTTTCTATAGCTATCATAATTTAATATAGCTAATTATAAAAGCTAATTTTTACTAAAAAAAAAAGTATTTAAAACTATAATTAAAATCGTAAAAAATAAATATATGACAAATATCTAAAAATATAAAATTGTGAAAATGTTACTCCATATAAAAATCTTCTTAGGGATTAAACTAAATTATTTAATTAATTAAAGAATAAAAAGCACTTTACCTTATATGAAGAGGAGACATGCTATTGAAGAAAACGGTGGTTTTCTCCGAATCCACGTTTCCCTCCACCCACCGTGCCCAAGTTCTCAACACCCTTTCGTATGCCGTCGCCCGTTCGATCTCATCATACAACTTTGATCCCTCATCGAACGATCCACGTCTGTTCAAGTAAGAAAAATAATCATTATCATAACTTAGGGGAGGGAAATGTACATACATACCACACAATTTTTATTTACACGTTATACTTTAGTGTTCCCATGAACTTATGTATGAAAATGAATATTTCACTTTCAAAGATTACGATGATGCTACTTTTGATGTGATTGTAAAAATAGAGTGTTTTACATGTAAATATAGATGTTCGGTGCTAAATATGTATGTATCTATATATATATCTATATATATATATATTCGACTTATCTATACATGAAAAATGTATATGTATTGTATTTTTGAAAAAGTTGAAATAATGTTGTTTTTATATGATATTAAAAATTTAGGTGGTATATATGTTAGAAGAAAAATTTAGCTTAAGTAAATACATAAGAATTGAGTGGTATGTCGGTAAATGTATCTAATTATATTTAATGGAATCAAATAATTAAAAACAAACAAATTAAATAGTAATAAAAAATAAAAAAACTCACAGGACTTTGATATTTGCTGTGTTCATCCACCAAATATAAGTATTGAATATTAAGTAATCAACTCCTCTCCAATACTTTGCATGTTTGTCGATGGAATCCGCCATAATTATCCGATCTGTGATGCTGTGAGCTAAGGGGTCGTCGGAGTTCGACTCCACTAGAAACGGCGCCCAGTAGAACTCTACCGTCGCGTTGTACCCCTGAATATATATTTATTTATTTACCACGTTCAGTTCTGATCTATAATAAAAAATTAACTTAGTTTATATATGATTAGTTAACTCGCAATTATTCATTCATGTGGGATGTATTATAAAGAGGAGAAATTAATGCTTCTAGCATGTATATAAAATAGTGCTTAAATTGTATAAACAATTTAATTTAGGAGCATTTACATAATTACCACCCAAATCCTCTGTGTATACATATCTAAGACCAATACTTTAATTTTTTACATTGATACCACCTACCTAAAAAATATCACGTTAAATAAATGTTTTCATAGATAGGGAAAGTCACAAGTATGTAAAAGTAGAAATGTAAATGCATAATAATCGTTTGGTTAATTTGTATGTAAATCTTCCTTTAATTAAGGACATTTTTACTTGAATCATCAATTCAATATTTTAAAGTGTTTTAAGAGTTGTTCAGAAAGAGTTTATCTGACTTGGAATGAGATGGCGTTTTATAAAATTTTATGTAAATGTTATTTGTAAGATTTTGGACCGTTAATAAGGATATATTTTGAAGTGGTCATTGTTTTCATGGTTCTATGAAGCATTTCTACAGACACACACACACACGAGACACATTAAATAAATGGCAAAAATAATTGGCAGGGGGCTCCTAGCAGAATTCTCATGGAGGTGAGGGATTTTTATTTGTTTAATATTACATCATTTTTCATTAATATTACGTGCTTAAGCACATGCATAAGATTTGTTTCTGTATGGTGTGCTTTAAGATTATTTTGTAATTTTCAGTCATAAATCTTACATACTAGACTGTTTGTCTTCTGCTGAATGTGTTGTATTTTTTTAGGATAAGTATGTCTAATGTACTCACTAAAGTATTAAAATTGCCGTCAATTTATATTTATATATCTTTAATTGATTATTCGTTTTGCATTATTGATGTTAGATGCCTCATTTTCTTAAATTAATATTTGAAGTGTTAAGTAATCATAAGGACGTGCTTTGCATTTGGGCTATGGAAACTCTCTTAGATGTGAAAAAAAATGGTAATTTGAAAATACAAGCCAAACTAAATTTTGTGAATTAAAAACAAACTTAAATTAAATATCTTAACCATAAGATAAATAATTTCATTTACGCTCTTAATTTAAGGAAAATTTACATCACAGAGAATTCTGATGAATTTTCATTTATAACACCTAAAGTTTACTATTTATATCTATACTACATCGGTGCCTTTGACATATAAAAATTAGAAAAATTGATATTGTTGATGTTAAGGATGTAAATGCATAAGACTTGTGTGGTATGTATGTAAATGCCCCCTAACTTGTATTACAATGCAATCGTTAATTTGAGCAGTTTATATTTTAACTTTTATTACGTCTCAATTATTTGTTTAATTAAGATGAAATCACATCTCTTAATTATATATATTTTAAATATAAATATGATGTGATTGAAAAAATTTATCAAATCAAATCTGCAGACAGAACCAACAAATCAATTTTAAAATGAAGGTCAACTAAATCTGATACCTAAAGATTTCTATATGTACTTAAACTGAAAATCAAACCAACTCGGACCAACTCTTCCAGCTCATTTTGAATATTTGATTCTCTTAAATGAAATTTTATTTTGATTTCAGATTTGATTAATAATTCTATTTCCATTTATTGTAAATGTAGCTTTTTTTAAAACAAAACCAGAACTTCTGTAAGAAGCTTCTGCACAAATTTTTCCTTCGTATAAATACGTGTAGTCATAATTAGTTGAAATGTTTATATTACTTGGATTCGATAGATGATGAGGGAGTTATTGTAGGCGTAAGATTTCTCGCCGTCTGGCACGGCGGAGTATAGCAGACAAACCATGGACTCCCACTGGTTCCGATTCAACGAATCCCCCACGAACATCAGCCGCTTGTCCCTTAGTTTCTCCAGGAGCATCCTTCCATCAAATCTTACAATGGCAAAAATGAAACATTTTACGTCTACTTAAATTGCAACACATTTCAAAAAATAAGAAAAAAGGAAGGCATTTACATAAATACCACCCAATTCCTATGTATTTACAAGTCTAACATTTAAATTTTATTTTCTTATGTTTATACAACACAGATCTATAAAAAAAATATCCTTTTCAAGCCTTAGTACGGTGGCGTGAATGTAAATTTCATGTTTAGATGTCCGATATGTAAATAAATAGAAATTGAGTGGCATGTATGTAAATCTTACAAACACCACGCATTTCAGTAATAATTGCATTCTTTCTCCTTCTATATATATATATATATAAATAATAAGAGTGGAGCAGGCCATCATCAATAAAATCATTAAAATACCACAAGAAGATGAATGAGATGGTATACCTATCTAGAATTCCAAATAAAATTATAAATAAAAAAATACTTTACCACATCATTTAATTTACATTAAAATGTATGTGAGAAAATCGCATTATTGGCCTTCTTATTTGGAGTTAAGAGAATATTTTACTTACAGCTAAAATTTTTATGAACATTAATACTTGCAGAAAATCTATTAATAAATCACATTTCATACCAACTCAATTTTCTGCCAATGCTTTGAACCACTGAAAATAATTATATCTGCATCATACCATCTTATATTTTAAGAGTAGCCTACGATTTATGCACATAAACAATCAGATATGAAATAAAATTGTGCTTATGAGGTTTCAATGATGAATTTATCGTATATAAATCATAATGAATAATAAAATTGAATGATGATCAATTGCTCTAGAAAAAAAAACAAAAAAAAAAAAAAATCTTACTGAGGTAAAGAGCAGCTCCTTGGCTGCCATCTCCATTTCTGATACGTATCATCTTGCCGGCCGTTCATCATGCAACTGACTTGCGTGCTGAGGAAAGGGCAGCCATCCTCCTTGTACAGTGGCCGGGATGTGTTGTCCAATACCCACTCACCGACGAAGATGTTACACGTTTTAGGCCGGCTCAACGCCACCGCCGCCGGCGGGGAATGAAGCGGATTGTTTTCCTTCGCAGACACTTGTTTGATTTCAGCGGATTCGTCGGAGGAAGAGAAGAAGGAGAGATTTGCGATGTACCGGATGTCTTCGCCGTACATGAACACAGCGAAGAGGAAGACAAATATAAGGATGCCGAGGATGGAGAACACGCCGGTGTTTCCGCCACCACCCATGACTTTTCGGCCGCCGGATTTCATGGGAAACTGTATATTTCCGGCGAGGAAAGTTTACTTAGAGGAAAGGGGAAAAGGGGGATATAGAGAGTGAGACTAGGTGTGGATTAGGCGGAAATTTACGGTTTGGTGAGAAGAAGCTTTTATCTATATATGGAGAGTTCTATGCTTATAATTTATATTTATTTTATTTTAATGGAATTCCAGCGGGGAAGATGGCGGCGTGTGTAAGGCAGGCTGATCGTAGAGTAACATCGAAGTTGAAGCAAGGGTGCGCCGTGGAGGAAATCAAATCATTTTTACAAAAGGGGCACTGCTTGGAAAAATTTGTGGGCATGAATCGTTGCCTAAAATGCTAAAAATTTTATGTGAGTAAATTTAATGGAAATTTTATTTAGGTATTTCTTGTCATAAAAAAATTAAGTAAAAATAGGGACATTTTAGTGCATGATTATGCTTTAGAAAATTCATGAAAATTTTTTACTTAGAAGTCTCATTTATAATGTATCTATTTGAACCAACACACTCATTATAATTTTATTTAGTGAAATATACTTAAAATTTTATATGTTTATGAAATTCTGGTATTCATGATTCGCTTCTTGAAACAAAATCCTCCAAATAATTTTGGATTGATTGAAATCTGAATTGATTAGAAAGTAGGCTTAAGTCTGATTCAAATCAAGTTTCAGGTGAATTTCAAACGAATTGATTTACGAGAGAAATCTCACCAAGATCTCCTTGTTCTCTTTTAACAATGTCGGTTATGTCGATGCTTGGCTCAACACATCAGAAACTCCTCAGCTTCCGTATCCCATCAATGCATGGCTTCAATCTCTCACGAGCTCTATCCCATCCTGTCACAAACTTCGACTCTCCTAATCAAGTCATCAAAGCTCATTAAGTCATTTCCCCATCCTAAAATACATGAACTCTCCATCTCATTTACATGTCATCAGATCCCATCAATGTTTAACCTCAATCCATCACGAGACTCACAAAATCTCCTTCTTCACATGTACTCAGATCATACTAAAACTTGGTAGCAGCCATCATAAACACTTGTATTGTCACACCCAAATTGATCCCTCCCCCCTACCCCCTTCCCCCCTTCACATAGGACAAATAGTGGTGTGGCAAAGGAAGATGACTCACTTAGTCATGATTTTCACCAACATTCATCCTAACTTACATTAATCAGAACTAAGTGAGTACATAATTAATCTCATTAAATCGTCTCAAGAAAATACTTCTATAACATATTCTTTTATAACAAACAGACAAAAGGAAGTGTGCAAAATTAGTCCTCAATAATATAAAGAGTTTATATATACCCTCAAGGTATTTTATAACCATCCAAAATATTTCCATTCAGGAGTTGTACAAGAGGCAAATCGCCTGACTAACGGCCCACATATTGCTTACCCCTCCCTTGCAATCATCATAATCATATCAGATAAGCTACATACTTAGTAAGTTAAATAATTTTAAAACAAATTTATCATAAAAGATAGAAGTGGCACGTATGCAAGTCAATCACAAATATGAGTAATAACACATATATATATATATATATATATATTAAAAGTGTATAAACATCAATAAAAGTAGTACTTGAAACAATGATTATAATAAATAAAATGACTACTGAAAATTTTCTTATTCACCAAATAATACAATATGATGAGTGAAATTATTTATTTATATTTTAGTTTTATTCTCTTCTTTCTTAGTCTTAGAAATATCAAGTTATATTTGCATAGAATTTGATTCATTTCATTTTCTGGGGTTGTCATTCAACCCACCAGCTATGATAACTGCTGATATATTTTTTGTATTATTCAACACTAAATTAATAAATAAAAATATTTATAGGACCTTTTTTTTCTTTTTTTTTTGCATAATGTACTTGATTATCACCACTGCGTAATGCGGTAACTCACATAAATATATGTATATTTATAGTTCTATTTCATATGAGAATAATATTAAATAAAAAGTATTGATTATATCTATTACATTGTACTTCTTGAGCATGTTTATAAAGTTAGCCGGTGTAGGTGCATCTAGGTTAAACAATTAAATGCATATGAAAAGGATTATAACATCCAAGTAATATTGACAAAATATCGTGTACTACCATAGATGAGTTTGAATATGGAAATAATAAAATTGTCGCTATTAAGTATATCATGGGGTCGCCAATAAGTGTTATAGTGGAACGGTTAATCACTTTTTCTCTTCTTTTTCTCTTCTTTCATTTGATTAGGACTCTTGATGATTCTTCCCTAACGGTTGTTTGGCTCTAGCCATGATCGTGGCAACTTCTCCTCTCCAGCTGGCGCTCGCAATGGTGAAAAGTTAGCAGTACTCCGGCTTTGACAACCCGAATACAATCCAAGGTAACAATTGAATTTCAATCTAACATGGGTTTCTTTCATATTTTCTCGACAATTTATGTTGTTGAAGTATTAATGTTATCTGAAAGATTTCAGTTGTTGAGATATGTAAATTTATATAAATTGGGTGATATTGATGCAAATATCCTAATACATTTAAATATACATGAGGCATTCATTAGGTGTTTTTATAGTATATGGAAGATTTCGGTGTTATAAAAATCATATACATACATCTATATATCAATATATCTATAATTTTTTTTTTTTGAGAAAAAAGAGATCTATTTCATCGAAGGTTCAGAAACAATTCTTACATGGGGGACCTCTAACAGGTCACCCTCTAAGAGGAAACGAATAGGGGAGGGGAGAGGGAGAGAAAATACATGTGCTTCAGCAGTAAAGAGGCCTCTTCTAGCTAGCCAGTTTGCAGGGCAATTTCCTTCCCTATAAGTAGAGGAAGTATTAACCATAAGGGAAGATTTAATTGAATTAATCTTTTGTATCCATTGAGAAAGTCTCCAGGAGGGTGCTTCAGTACCATTTAAGAGCATCAGTAGGCTTGTGGAGTCCACCTCCACCCACAGATGATTCCAATTAGACATACAAGCCAATTTAAGAGCCCAATAAACAACAATCAGTTCAGGCTCAAGAGCATCTTCAGCCATGGTGGGTGCAAAGAAACATAGTAGACACTTGCCCTCATGGTTCCTAAAGCTCCTCCCACACCTGCTCCATGCTGAGAGAAGCTACCATCAGTATTCACCTTGACAAAATGCTTAAGGGGAGGCTTCCAATGCACTTTGATGATTTTGAGTAAAGGGGTGGATTCAACCACTTTGACAGTACATATATGGGGGAAGGCCTTATATTTAATAAGCTTCAGTAGAAAGGATAAGCAGTTCCTAGCCACATGGCTAGCAGTGGGTTTGTCCCCCTCAAATTTAATTTGATTTTTTGTCATCCAAATGAACCAAGTGACAATGAAGGGGATAGGACCTACCTTGGCAAGATTTCAGCTATTCCAACAAGAGTGCAGTTGATAACACTATATGGATAGGGTATCCAACATAAGCAATTTAGTTAGCTCTTCTCGAACCTTTTGAGAGAAACCACATTCAAAGAACAAGTGTAGAATTGATTCCTCTGCAGATTGACAAATCCAACATCAAGATGGTCCACTCAAGCCCTTCATTTTCAGGATTTCATCTGTTGGAACTAAATTTAAAAAAATCGTCCAGCAACAGAAGGACATGGAAGGTGATGGAAATTTATTCCAAATGACCCCTCCCCAGGGCACAACATTCCAGCTATCTAGTTTGAAGTAACTATACTTAGTTATGCTCTGATAAGAGTTGGCTTGCCATTTGATTTGTATCTTGCCTGGTTTTATCAAACTTCACAGTAGAAATGTTCAGAGCAGAAGAAGCATCCAACATAGACAGAAGCTTGGACATAGACCAGTGATCTCCTTCCCAACAGTCAGCTATCCTGATATTATGGTTAAGATCAATAGAAATGGGTTGCAACATTTCCTTTAGACACCAATGATCCAGCCAAAAATTGACTTTGCCTTGTCCGAGATCCCATAAGGAAAGCTCTTCAGCTAAACTTCTAATTTTTTAGCATGTTGATCCAGGTCTTTTAGTCACCAGTCTTTCTCTTGAACAAATTGGGGTGGTTAGCTCTACAATATTTCCCCAGCTTGTATTTGGCCCATAGAGAATCTTGCAGCCTGAATTTGATCCAGATATTACATAGATTCACTTGTTGTAACTGTTTCAGCCCTTTGAACCCCAAGCCACCAGTTGTAAGTGGTTTTGCAATCTTTTGCCAGCTAGCCCAATGAAACTGTTGTCTTTGGCCTGACTAAAGGAACCTGTTGAAAAGTCTTTCCATCTGCAGTTGAGTACTTTTCTTCATGATGTTCATTTGCAATATATAGGGGGGGGGAAGAAGTGAGAACGCTCTTAAGTAAGGTGATTCTACCACAACTACATAGGAAAGAGTGTGACTAGCTAGAGAGTTGATCAGCCAGCTTCCCTAGGACCTCATCAAATTTAATTTGTTTGGCTCTACCTTTGGTGAGAAGAACACCAATGTATTATAAAGGGAGCAAAGCCTCAGAAAATTTAGTGCGGTCCAAGATCCAATTTTTAATGTTGGAGGATATTTGCTTGCTGAAGATCAAATTGCATTTACTTGTGTTGAATTGCATTCAAGATAGATGTTGGAATAAACTGAGGCACTTAGAAACTTTATTTATTGCATTTTTATCAACTCTAGAAAAGACCATTATATCATCAGCATAAACTAGATGAGATAAAGCCATATTGAATCTATGATGATACTTGGAATAGGAGTTGAAGAGCAAGCATGTGTCAAGCATTTTGGATAGATAATCTAAAGCCAGTAAGAAGATTGTAGGAGAGAGAGGGTCCCCTTGTTGAATACCTCTATTGGCAGTGAATTGACCCTAGACTTGGCCATTAATAAGAACAGAATGTGCATTTTATTTGAGCCATCTGGAGATTAGATCACATAATTCCCTTGTAAATCCCCGTGCAGTCAAAATGTCTAGTCTGAAATCCCAACATATGGTGTCATAGGCTTTCCTGATGTCCAGTTTATAGATCAAGTTCCCTCCTCTGCAAGTCTTGTCCAGATCTAAATGATGTTCATGGGCCAGCAAGACATTGTCTGCAATGGAA